ATTGTAATGGCTTGGTAAAATAATGTGTCGGTTATTGTCCAGAGCATAGCGAAGGTGGCGCAATTTCTATAAATTGAACTTTTGGCTCCGAACTTAACGTGTTTCCGCTATTAGTATTTATCGGTATTGATATTTAACGTGAGTCAAATCTTTGCTATACATATATTTATAAGAATAGATAATTTTAACAGTAAGAGATGAATTTAACAGTAAAAAGAGATAGGTTTGACGTGATAATTATATTAGTTTTATTGTTTTGGGGGTTCGGTTTTATAAGGTTGACGTAGTAACCTACTATATGTGATAATCAAATAGTAATTCTGGGTTTTTAATTTTGACCCAATTCCAAAAATACGCTAAACGGTTATTGTAGTATGAGCCTTTGGATCAACAATTCAATACCCAGTTTATAGTTTGCATTAAGCAGAATGACCGCGAAAGACGATATAACATTATAGATCAAAAAACTTTAGACAATGATCAAGAATACTATATGTTTTAATTACTGTATTAATATTAATTAGATATAAAAAAATTTTACAATAAATATCCGGATAATCCGGAAACAATTTTTTTTCTTCCATTCTTATCATGAAATGTTCTATGCATCAGCAAATCTAAGTTTTTATTAATACTAATTTGAAATCTTTCTCTTTTTAGTTACGCCATATCTCAATTTTTTCTTAGCAAATTCTTCATTTTTTCTTTTTCGATTTTGTTTCTTCATTTCATTCCTTTGTATTTTCCGTTTCGCTGCAGATTCCGGATCGACAATAGCCTAGACAATATTGATTATAATTATTATTAAATTCTCTCATATAGCACATGAATTAAATAAATTATTTAACCATATCATTAAAAAGTAAAATGATGAATTTTACCTTAATAACTCTTTGATGTTTCCTTTCCCTTCTTACTTCCTCTATTCGTTGTCTTACTTTATTATACGCATTATGATATTCAGTCGTACCAACACGCTTATGTAATAGATCGAGAACTTCTTTTCCAAGCCGTTTAAGATTATCTATCATGAAATAAATACGTTAATGGTAACTACCTTTATTAGCAATAATAATCTCAATCAACTTATTAATAACAAGTTACCTATATCTTGGCCTTTGGTTGTCTCGTTGTTTATTAAACGATATATAGGTGAGATTATATGTAAGAGATAAGGAGGCACCAAGTCGTTCGGTGACATGCAGGTGATCATTGCGGCAAACCATTGATATATACTTGTTCTCTATAAATAAACGAATGAAGAAATAGGTTTAAGTTTTACATCGTAAAAAGAATCCTCTGCTATTTAACATACCTGATGGTCAATCTCTTCGTTATTGGATGAAGAAAACCTTGCCTGATATGATAATTTTTTGAATAACCAAATCAGGGATGACTTTACCGTACCGCTATCGCTTGCTTGGTTACCAATAATCTGCTGCATATTTTGTTTCTCATCATCTGCATTACTTGCATCTGCATCATCTGTTTCTATATTATCTATATCATCTATATCGTCATGGTTTTCATTATCTATATCTTCAGATATAGACTCTTCATTATGATTTTCATCCCTTTCCTTTGTAAATGAATGATCTACTTCATCCTCATCAGGCGACAAATAATAAAAACATTTTCCAATGAAAAACAAGTTTTTCACAATTTGAATTGCAAGCTCTTGTCCCAAATGTTCACTTTTCAATTGTGTACAAAATGATATGGCCAATTTTCTCAGCAAATCCTTTGTCAAAAAATCATTTCTTTTATTTAATCCTGTAGCAATCATAGTCTCGGGATTGATTTTAGCAAAGTATGATCCAAAAAGTCTGCTTGATGCGAGTCTTATCCAAGAATGTGAATGGAGAATATGCTTTTCAACCAGTATCCATATTTTGTTGCATTCTTCAAGATAAGTAACAGATGGGAAAGCTTTAATAAGTTTAGTGAACGTATTTAATGCATAATATCCGATCTCCCAATCAACATCCACCATCATATCTTCCTGATTATCGCCTGTATCATTTGAGGAACGCACAAGCTGATCCATAACTTGTGAACTTGATTGAAGAGCAATATCTAAAATATTTAGTAATTCTGGAATGTGTTTCTTGAATCTGTCTTCAAAAGCTTCAATTACAAGTCCATAAATTTGTACTGCCATTCGTTGCAAACTCTTTTTTTCGGTTTGAGAAAACCATTTATCTAACAAGATATAGGTATTTTTTAATCTTTGTTCATCCATTCTTTTCATTAATACCTTAATCAAGACACCTGCTATTTCTCGACATTTGTTGGATTCATCATTAACTAATAACATAGATAAAGCCACGAAAAACATTTCTGCATATTCCATTAATATTTCATCTCCAAATTTAGTAATTATTAAACTTAGCATCTCCATTGTTGATTTCCTACCACTCTCAAAGGTATAATTGAGATTTTTAATTAAAAAGTTTATTTGATTCTTGAGGCGTCCACGACCTTGTGGATAATCCAATAAGAATTGAAATAAAACTTGTCTCGAAAGGTCACATGTTTGTGAAGTTTGACTTGTAATCATTATTTCGGAAATTGTTTGCATTAAATCATAAATCTCTGGAACAACTAATTTACGTGAAATTATGGCTTTAATCAACGAGAATGTCGTACTTTGCCGTTGGGGCTCTTCAAGGTCAGGTCTAATCAAATTAATTAAGAAGGTCAATTGGTTTTCTTTAATTTCAACTTGATCACCAACGCGCATCATAACTGTAAGCAATTTAAAGCAAGTTTGTACGAGCTCGGAATTCGTAGAGTTCGATGTTCTTATCAAAACAAATGTTTGCTTCACGATAACAGGTAAAGCATCATTCAAGGATTTAAGTTTCAGGTTACATAATAAGTTCATTATCTTGATAGCAAGAATGTTAATGCTCAAATGCTTGGAATACATGGCATTTCCTACTATATTCACGAATTGATCTAACATAAAAAGTTGTTCCTCAGATTTTGTATCAATCTTTTCGTGTTTAAGAGCGGATAAAAATATGGCCAACCCAAATTGCACAAAAAGATATGAATTTGTGTCAAAATGATCTACGGGTTCTGTAATATCACGTTTCAATTGCACTGTAAAGTTCATCTCTAAATTTGTTTTAACAGTCTTGACCTTCGGTTCTGATTTTAATATATCAAGATTCTGAGATACAAGTCCTTTACACAATGTTATAATTTCTTTGATCTCAAATTCAGGGTTATTATTCAACCCAATTGCTATTTTTTGTAATGTTTCTTCAACTTTCCGCAAAATCTTTGAACTTTGCGTTTCTCGCATAACATCTTTAAGTGGCATCAATAGGATACCGATATTCTTAATATGGATAATTTTGGCAAGAATCTCAAATGTTCCAAAACCTTTTTTAGCTTTCATCTCCTTTAATTTACCCGTTATTTCCTCTGTATCTTTCTCTTCTGCAACATGGCCAAATATATCGTTGATCATGATATCAACAATTAGTTGAAGACAATAATCAACGTCTCCAACTGTTAAGTTTGGGGCTAAATTCAACAAGAGAGAATGTAATGTGAATCCAAGGACATGCAGTTGATAACCTCGTGTAAGTGCGCCTTGCAATTCTTTTATGATAAATGAAAAATACGTAGGCCCAATGAAATTTGAAATTTTAACAATGGTGTCTCTTGTAACATCACGAGTATCTTGACTACGACTTCTTAATATTTGACATAATGTAGTGAGCAACCCCGGTAAATGGAGACGAAGTGACGCTTCAGGCAATGCCTTTAATAATTTTGTGATCGCCAATGCTACAGGTATTCGTACTGTAATATTACCATCATCACATTTGGACAAATATGATTTCAAGTCAGGCAATATTTGGTGTATTATAGTATCATGAATACGTTGAGACAAAACTTTTCCGGATATTTCATCACTTGGTATATCGATATTCAATGACTCATCTTGTTTGTTTGATTCACCTTCTTCCCCTTCAATATCTTCAGTTATAATATCATCATCTTTTGGTTGAGATTCATCGCGCTTTTCACTTTTGCAATCACTTTCAAGTTCGATCGATTTATGTGATGACTGAGATTGCGAATTTTCAGCTATACTCTCAGAAACATCAAAATGAAAATTATCCAAAATAGTTATAATGGTCCTAATTAGTACTTTTTCTATTATTGATTTCCGAGAAATTAGTTTCATGTACTGTTTAAAGTGAGCGTAATA